GTGCCGGCGATTCGGCATCCGAAGCTCGCGGTGTCGCCGGTGTTAGGATTGCGCTAAGTGCCAAGGCGGAGCGCTCGCTTCTTGACTGGATTCCAGTCAGTAACCGGCTGCGCTGTAGGTCTCAACGGTTCAGCACGGCTCAACATTTACACAATAAAGCGTTAATGCTTTTTCGGTAAATGCACCGGCCGATTGCAGTACGCCTGAAATTAAGGATGAATTCTACAAATATCTTTCTCTACTACAAAGTGTTCGATCAACGGACGTCGTAGTAGTTGCCGGAGACTTCGATGCTCAAGTGGGATCCCTGGACGAATCAGAAAGGCTTGGTGGGCCGCATGCAATCCCAGCCAACAGGACGGACAACGAAGATCGCCTACTTCAACTCTGCGCGGATCACGGATTGCTCTTGTCAAACACGAACTTCTTACACAAGAAACGACACCGCCCTCCATGGAAATCGCCAATCTTTTCAAATCGACTGACTGAAATCGATCACATCGCCATCTGTTACCACTGGAGGGGATCAATTCAAGACTTGCTCTTACTGGTCGACAGCTGTGGATACAGACCACGCCTTGTTATGAGCCAGATTCTCCTTACGCCTGGCGAAAAAGCCACCGGCAACGGATATCCACGATACAGCGTCCGCGATGGCTGCGAATCAGTCTTTGAGGTGGAGCTCTCCGATCGCCTGTCAGTTCAACCACCAGTCGAAGGAATCAATGCACATTGGAAGAAAATCAACGAATCTATGCAAATATTAATAAAAACAACGTCGGACCCTGGCGTTGGTTCAAAATCCAAACGATGGATATCGTCTACCTCGGCTGCCCTGCTGGACGCCCGCAGAACCCTCCCTCCCGATGCCACACACGACACATATGACACAGCGCGCAAACCCCTTGGACGCCGGCTCCTCAGGAGTCTGAAGAATGACTGCCAGAAGTGGTGGATAGGGAAGTGTAGAGAGATGGAGAAGGCGGTAGCTATCGGTAATAGTCGCAGTCTGTTCCGTCTTATTAGAAATACGGGCCGCAGAATAGTGTTCGTCAGTGAGGTTATTAAGGAATCTGATGACACACCGATTCACGATCAGCAAAGCCGTATCGACCGTTGGGGCTGAACTCCAAGGCTCAGTTCAACTGGCCCCCATCGACATCTGATCTTTCACCCTGTACCTTGACTGGGAAAATACTGCCAGTTAATGCTAGTCCTCCATCTGAAATGGAGGTTTCTCGGGAAATAAGTTGTCTAAAATAGTATAAAGCCTCCGGCCCAGACGGGCTGTCCCCATTGGTTTTAAACAATGAAGGTTCAGCCTTGGTTTTCGAGTTAACAGAACTCCTGGGCTCAGCGCGA